CGGTACAGACACGTGGTCCAGCATTCCCGGTAAAATGACGCAGAATGACGCTGAGGGTCGAGCACCACGTGACCTCGTTTTTCTGTAGCCTTTTCCGCCCTTCTTCCTGGTTCGCCTTCAAACTTTAATTTCATTTGAGCAGTGGTGTCAAAAGTACACATATTTGTTACTTAAGTAGAAGTATAGATACTGCAGTTTAAAATAAGTCTGATACTCCAGTAAAAGTGAAAAAGTATGTTCTCCAAAAACTACTTAAAGTATAAAAGTATAAAGTATCTGTTGTCAGAAAATTTAGATTTCTCTTATTTCATATATTAATTTATCCTATTTACTCACTATAAAAGTTTTCACTCAGCCTGTGTCACTTGCAAGGACACACATTTCTCTACGTGAGGGTGTTTGTAGACCAGACATAGCTTCTTCTCATAAAAAAACAGATTCTTTCTCAGGGTTTATTCATAACATGTTACTGTTAACCAAAGTGTCTAATTTGTTTTGACTCTGTGCCATAAGGGCTGTATAATGAATAAATGTGCTGACTGAGTCAAATCCATTAACCTCCGTTTATTTAACTAGGGTGAATAGTTGAATACTTTTTTCCCACTACAGTAACCATAAAAAAAAAAAAGCAGCCAGACACCACTATAAGAATTGAAATCTCAATTTTGCGATAATTTAAAAAAATTATTTGAGATAGGGCCAAGGATGAGGGAGGTCTTGTTGGTCTCTGTCTCCATATCCACATACGCTCTTTCCTGTGTCCAACCTTTCAGACATTTCAACATCTTTTTCTGAATCCAACATTGTAGCATGGCATAGACCAGGCATCCCCAACCTCGGTCCTCGAGGCCCGCTGTCCTGCAGGTTTTAGAGGTTTCCCTGCTTTAGCACAGGTTGGAGGTGCCTGGCATAGACAATTCGCGGTTGCAGTTTGAAGAACACCTGCTTGCTTGTGATGATTTCCTTTGGAGTCAGCACAAATTTGACAAATAGCTAACCAATGAGTGTTTGCATTATATGACTCATCCAATTACACTAGTTTTCACTAGATGTGGATGGTGCCAGTGATCTGCATTGGATGGCGCACATGATGCGAAATAAATATGTATAAACATTAATCCGTGGCCATGAGTAACAAGTAATTTTTTTTAATGCAAGGAATAGAAAGTGCAGATACTTGTGAGAAAATGTAATGAGTAGAAGTCAGAATCAGGAAGAAAAATAAGTAATGGAGCAAAGTATAGATACGTAAAATGTGTACTTAAGTACAGTAATGAAGTATTTGTACTTCGTTACTTGACACCTCTGCATTAGATTGACACAAATGTTTAGTCGGGATACTAATGTTAAATGACCGGTTATAAATTCTTCTTATTCATTAAGGAATGATGGTGGTCGTACCCAAAATCTAGTTTAAAAACAAACAATAAAAACCCCTTGTAAATAAGAACGCAACCAAAATGAAAAAAAAACATCACAAAAATAGAAATCTAATATACTGATTTGGAAGACCATATCAATTGGTTTGAACTCATTCATTAAAATTGAGAGAGGATTATTTGTGTTTGGGAGCAGTTAAGCCCCTTTTTATTTTTTGCACTATTTCCAGTTCCACTTCTACCGTAATCAGTCATTTCTCTGGAGGATTTTGACTGAAAATGATTTTCATCTAGTCAGCAAGCTCTACTCCAGTAGAAACAGAGAGAGGCATAACTGAAGTAATTGAGAGTATCATCTATGTAGCTTTAACACATTTGAGTATTTCAAAAAATATATATAAATGGTTCAAAATAACATTCAGCATATAAAAACTGTGATCCTATCTCAGTCCGACAATCAGTACCTTGATTTTTAAATCATAATTAAAACAAAAATGGGTCAAAGTGACATCAGTGAGTATGACCAGTTCTACAGGGGATCTGAACCACCCATGCCCCTCACTGATGAGTAAGCAAATATCGCTCTGATGAAACCAATCTGTTGCTTTCAGAGCAGCTTTGGTTGATCAAACAAATAGCACCGATAGTATTGATTTGGCAGGAAACCATAAAACACGAAAAGTGTACTGAGAAAACAGCCCATAATGAGAAGAAAATATTAAACAGCTTAAAACACAAAGTGGGAGAGATGAAATTCCCATTAGGACTCATTCTGCATGTTTTTGGACATGGAGCTATTGGTAAATCCTTTAGTCCCACAGGTAAAAATGGATTACAGGCAGAGCCAACCACACAGCAGCCTCAAGCACAAATCAGCAGCTTTGTGGTCTCTGTGCGGTTTCCCACTTTGTCAGTGTGTTCCTGGTCCATTAGAATATCTAAGGCGAAACAATAGCCTCTTGTAGTGTTTATGAACTCCCCACATTGTCCAACAGCATTCTCTTCATTTGGTCCACTGTAAAAATGATGCTGAACTTTGACAATGTCCTCGAACAGAGCTGTGGAAAAATAAGAGAAGCATTAGGGTTGTTTCCCAACTAGTTCAACCTTTCAGAAGGGTAGGATAATCCAGCCATTTCCATAGAGGAGGTCAAAGGTAAAGGGTTGTTGCTCTATAACAAAGTGGAAATATAATTGTCAAGGTTTGGTTGTGGTTTGGAGGACCCAAATGCAGAGGCAGAGAGGCTGAGGAGATTTCTTGGAGTTTAATGGGGCAAAAACAATAAACAAAGGCAGGAATCCAAAAATCCAACTAATAATGAAAATCAAACCAGAACTATGCAGACATCTTGGGAAACCAAACACGAGGAGCCAGGGAGAGACGTGATAGGTGGACAACAGCATGGGAGGACAGCAAAGACAAGGAACCAACAATGAGTGACAGCAGAGGGAGAGAATAGCTGACTGAGACAAAGGCAGGGCTAACGAGCAGATGAGGAGCAGGTGTGAGAGGAGACAAAGAGGGAAGAATCATAACTTGTGGTTTAATACGTATTGATCTTTATTTTTTTATTTTGGTATCAGTTATTTCACACATACAAAAAAAAATAAATAAAACGCTCAGTATTCCTGTTATAAAATATATTGTCAAAAGCAGATAAAATACTGTAACTCTATCTGAGTAGATATTTTTCATACAGCTTGATTTCAAACTAATCACTGTCCTTCAAGTATGTCTAAGATGAGTGTTCTTAATATCTTCTCTTTTGCAGAAAATAAACTATATTTAAAAAACAACAACAAAAAAGTGTTTTGTTAATTATGATGGGACTATATTTATGATGGGTTTGTCATCTAGGAAAGATTTTTGTATTTCCCATTAACATTATCTCCCATTAACAAAAGATCTGTGTTGCATGTGAAACAACAACTTCCCATATAAACTGTGACAGTAAAATAAATTGTATAAAATAAATTATAAAGAAAAATTTTTCTCAAGAACAGAAATCCCTGAGAAAAACGCATTTCATTCCTTTCAAAAAAAAAAAAAAAAAAAAAAAAGTAAAACCAACTCAAAATTTCACTCTAATCAATACTCTGCAGAAACATGCAGGGACAATAAATATCATCAAGACAATAAAGCGGTTGTTTTATTTTTCGATATCTGATAATTAAATACATTTGGAAATTAATACAATTGATAAATGAAGAAAGAAAATGTTATGTTTTAACAATTTATAACATTAAAGATTAAACAATCCAGTGAACAAATCTGTATATAAATTTTAAATCATTTTAAGTTGAAGGTATTTAGTGAATAAATATTTCTCGATTTATTCAACTTTTCATAGCTTCTTGTAGTTTTGTGCAGCTGTTAATTCCCTGTTACCGTACTTCAACTGATTTTGTAGTCCAGAAGTCCTAGTATTAATGAATCAAACTTCTAAATAACATTTCAAATGTTTTAGGTGTTATGTGTTTTTCAGCCATAAATGCATGATACATTAATACAAATATGTATATTTTTCATTTATTGAGTTTTTTTAGCAGATGCTTTTAATATTTTTTTGTACATTTTGAAAGATCAGATTTTATTCTATAGATAATTTTCCAAAACCAGGGAGTCCCTTGTACCAAATTATGACTTAATGATTTCTGAGGACAGTGTCACTAACCTTCTCAAAGTGATAAACGTACACAGTGGTGCCTCTAGAAATGTTTCATGGGGTGGCCAGATGGAGCCTCTTTAAAACTTTTGGTGCTGGCACATTGAAAGTAAAAGTCTTTATTTCCAGGTTTTAATCTACTACTGTGGTAAACCTGCCTGCAGAAATCATAAAAACTTAAGTAAACACCTAGTCATATCTTGGTTTATTGTGTGATTTTTTTTTTATGTTACATCGCTGGCTGTTCATAATAGGATGAAATGCCAAACGGATGCTACTACAGTTTACGGTGGTCAGTGGGGTGCCACTGTATGTAAATAAATGTGGATGCACTCTCAGGTACTGTGCAGAACAGCTGAGTGGTGTGTTCAATCCAATTTTCCAGATATGCACAGATTCTGGGCAAATATAAAAATGTGAAAAAACCTCCAATTTAATATAAATCCCAAAATCAAACCATTCCAAACAACTAAGTGAATTGAGACCAATTGCACGTATGCCCTTAGTAATGAAAATGTTTGAGAAGATTTAAAAGATAACATCCTCCTCATTTCTCTAATAGACTGCAAACTTGACAGAAAAGGAGTTGTTCAGTAAACTAAATCCATCCTAAACCAGACTATCCATGTTCTCAGAGTTCATGCTAATGCCTTCACAGCGATGTTATGTGGTTCCCAAACAAAAAACCAACCGATACTCAAACTCCTATATTCCTCAGCCATTCAGCTTTGAAACTCTGTTGGCCAGTAGTTGCTATTGTTTTTATCAATTTATTATTATTTTTACATTTTTTATTCTAATTTCTTATATCTCAGTTGCATTAACAGTAGTTATAGTTTTTGGAGTGTGGTTGAATTTGATTATTATTTGTATATTGTATTATTTTTCCTTGAGTGTTTGCTATATCGACCCGAGAGCAGCAAAAAGATTTAGGATAAAGTTGTTTGAAATGTAT